ATTATTCCGTTGATTTATTTAATGACTTCGGGTTCTGTAGTGGTGCCCGAGGATATATCATCCTCCCCTTCTTCAAGAGAGTTTGACCTCAAACTCCGAATTTCTTCATGTTCAAGGTATGGACTGAGATCTTTCACATTGAATGTGGCGGAAACTCCATAGTCTCCAGGGAGGTAAATCTTGTAAGCATTCTCGTTGATCTTTTCCAGGACATCGAATGGACCATCGGCTCTCGGCAGCAGCTTAGACTTTCGTTTCATGAGGAAACACTCTTTTCGGAGATGAATCCACACTAAGTCTCCCGGCTTGAAACTTGTCGCTCTTCTTCCTTTGTTGACTCGTTCGCTCACTTTCTCATTCATGGCTTCTATCTTCTCGCGAACCCTAGTATGAAGGTCCTTTATATTTTGAGATCTCTTCTCGCCTTCCCAGCTATATTGGCCTTTCCCATTGATAGGGTCAAGCTCAAGTGGGGTGAGAGGGTTCGAACCGTAAACAATGACGAATGGTGAAAATCCTGTTGTTTTGCTTGGCGTTCGGTTGTATGCGAACTCGGCAGGAGGTAAAAGTTCTTCCAATTTCTTAATGTTTTTCTTGATTAAGACTCGAAGAAGTGCCCCAAGAGTACGATTGGTGACTTATGTTTGGCCATCCGTTTGGGTATGGCTTGATGTGCTAAATTTGAGCTTTGTTCCTAGTTTTCTCCACAAAGTCATCCACAAATGACTAAGAAACTTAGGGTCTCGATCCGACACCATGCTTCGTGGGACACCGTGTAGCTTGACCACTTCTCGGAAATAAAGATAAGCTATTTGAGAGGCGTCATAAGTTGTCACGCACAGAATGAAGTGGGCCATCTTGGAAAACCTATCCACAACGACCATAATTGAGTCCTTGCCCCTTTGTGTTCTTGGCAGCCCGGTGATCAAGTCCAAGCTATATCCTCCCAAGGGGAAAAAGGGACGGGCAGTGGAATTCTCATTCCTTGCGGCAAGGCATGGGTCTTCGCAAGGTGGCACGTGTGACACCTCTTTACAAAGTGTTCTACATCACGTTCCATCTTTGGCCAAAAATAATGTTCTTTCATCATGAGATATGTCTTGTTGATTCCGAAATGTCCAGCTAGACCGCCACCGTGGACTTCTTCGATGAGAGTCTCTTGAACACTACTTCTCGGAACACAAAGTTGATTACCATGGAGAGGTAACCATCTTTGATGAGATAATCCCCATGTGGCTGAGATTGGCATAGGGCATACACTTCTTTGAAATCTTCATCTTGCTCATACAATCCCTGCAAACATTCAAAACCAAGAACTTTGGTACTAAGTACCGTTAGTAAAAAATGCCTTCTTGACAAGGCGTCGGCTCCTTTGTTCATGACCCCATTCTTGTGTTTGATTATAAATGTGAAGGTCTGAATGTACTCGACCCATTTAGCATGGCGGGGTCGAAGTTTATGTTGCCCTTGAATGTACTTCAATGCCTCATGATTAGAATGGAGAATAAACTCCTTTCCCACGAGGTAATGTCTCCAATGTTCGAGGGAGCGAACTAGCGCGTAAAACTCCTTGTCATATGTGGAATAGCGCCTCCTTGTCTCATTTAACTTTTCACTGAAGTATGAGATGGGATGTCCCTCTTGAGATAGGACAGCCCCAATGCCCACACCCGACGCATCGCATTCGACCTTAACGAGCTTTTCAAAACTCAGAAGGGCGAACACGGGTGTATGTGTTAGACATTCCTTGATTGTTTTTGATATACCCCGGGTGACTACCAACGACTCTAAAGTCGTTAAACAAATTAATGGAATAATGGCTAAGTGTTACGACCCCTTTTGGGCCGAACTTATCAGTTATAAAACCCACAACATAGCCATAATATCCCTGAGCCCAACACCCTTCTAAAACCAAGTCTCCCTCACTCCAAAACCAAGTCCCAAAGTATCCAAAAGCTAGCCCAAAACTACATTTGTTTTTCCTTCACCCCTGGCCGAAAACACCCAGCCCAAACCCATTCCATAACCACACTTTGCTTCCCCAACTAGGCTGAGCAAACAATCACTAAAATCCAAGACACTTTGACCCATACCCACACTCTTCAACCCCTCTTTGTTCCCCCCATTTCCTGCCCAGAAAATACCTCCAAAATAGCAAGCCCATTTTCCCCATTAACCCATTCCCCTGCCCAGAGAACACCCCACCAAAAACCAATCAAATAATGAATAATGTTCACATATTCCTTCCCACCATTAGTGGCCAAGAATCCTGTCCTACAGGCACCCACAACCCTGATTTTCTCCCCACCAAAGGGACATCCACAAGTGGCCATTATTTCATTCAATTTGTGAACAAGAGACTTGGTAGTCTCCCTTTTATCTTTCTATATAAGCTCATCCCTGAGCATTGTAAGGGCACATTGTATTCCATTTTAAATAAGAGTGATTCACTTGTGTGTTTCATTTCAAATTCCTAATCCTATATCTTAAGAGTGGTTCTCTTGAGTGTCAGTTTTAGGTTCAAGTTATTTAAATAAGTGCGTAATATCTCATTTGAATGCTAGACTCAACCCCAAGTTAAGATAAGGGTGTGTGATATCTCTTAACACCAACTTGTTTTGTTCCCCTTCCCCAAAAAATACTTTTTTTCCTTTCCCCAGCCGCCATATAATCGATTATCACTATTGACAATCGAGTATCTATCCTTCATAAAATACCCGCAGCCTTCTGTAATCGATTATCATTCTACGACAATCGATTATCTGCTTCCCCAGAAAATCAGTAGCCCACAATAGTCGATTATCACCTCCCTGTCAATCGATTATCTATCGCCTCTGAAACTCCTTTAACTTCTCCCCAGAAACTGAACCATATGATAGTCGATTTTCATACTTGAATAATCGACTATTCCCCCTTCCCTGCAATTTAAGGAGTTTGTTCTTAAACTTAAGCCTAATCCCGGAGCTTGGGTACAACATTTGGTATTAAAGCTTGTAACGCCCCGAAATCTGGCCCAAAAGAATTAATTAAATTGTTAGAGCAATTGATTACGAATTGGGCCTAAAAAGGGGTTAAAATTATAATTTGGATTCTAAGCCCAACTTTTATGTCATCTCATAGGAAATATTTTTGTGATCGCGTCGGTTCAGACGGCTCGCGAATCGGAGTTTTGGAGCTCATGTTATGACCATTTAATCAGGTATTTTGGGTCCGAAGCCCAATCTTTTTAGGAATGGGATCATTAAATAAAACCTAAACCTATTATCTTTCGTCCAGATCCGAGAGCCGCACGATCGGCATCCTCATCCTCATCTTCATCTTCATCTCCACCTTCGTCGCTCTCGATCGCCGCCGTGAGCCAGCCGCCGGTCATCCTCCCTGCCGTTCGACCACGCCGGCGTCGCCCGAGCTAGAAGCCGCTCATCGTCGGTCGCCCTTCCCCAGCCAATCGCCGCCGGTGCTTTCTTCGCCAGAGGTCCGCCGTCAGCATCAGCGCCGCCGACGACGGTTCACCTCATCGTTCTGCCGCTCGTCGCCTCCACTGCCAGCGTCGGTCGTCCTCGCCATCGAGCTGCAGCGCCGCTGTTTCGCCTTCGCCGGAAGTCCGCTGCTCATCACCGTCGAGCGCCGCCGTCACCCTTAGCTCAGGTCAGTTTCTTCTTCTTCTTCTTCTTCTTCTTCTTCTTCTTCTTCTTCAGTTTCCTATTTCGGTTTGTCTCTATCCCCTCGATTTTGAACAAGGTAGACCGCCAACAGCTGCCGCTCCGCCACTGTACGCCGGCGTCCGCCACCGTCGCCGCACCCAGCCGCTGCCCTGGGTTGATACCGCCGGCAGATTTATCTCCATGCTAGATTGATTGGTCGATTTCGTATTTTGACTCAATTTGACCCGTTCGTTTGATTTCGTTGATTTGTCTTCCGTTCGAGGTATCGATTCGATTTCGGCGTAATCCAGGTCCGTACTATGAAGTTAATAGCATTTAGAATAGATTTAATGGTTTGGATCGTTATATATATGTTTATGCTATAATTTGGCTAAATTGGTTAATTGAATTAAATTGATTACTTGAATTGAATTGTTGAGGAATATGGATTGACTCAACAGGTTTGACTTTGACTTCGGTTAGGCCCTGTTTGACTTGGACTTTGACTAGATATTCTGTTGACGTAGGTTTGACCTAATGGTTAAATCCAAGACTTTATTGAATTAATTAAGTTAATTAATTAATTCTAATCAGTAATTAGAATCAATTGGTTTATTATGTCGAACATAGAAACTGATCATTGCTCGGGCGGCTGCAGGGCCTGGTCAGTGAGGTTAAGACGTGCGCACGAGGGTCTGTGATCTTGGGTTTGAGGCTATCGCCCGAGGGATCCTACCTCCACCGAATTGAGGCTATCTTCGGTATTACGGATTGAGGCTATATCCGTCATAGGCAATAAATGCTAAGTGGTTTGACTTTCGTGAAAGTCTAAATTGGTTTGACCGGTGGTCAAAGATTTAATGAGAAACCCTTAACACCTAAATCGTTTTGAAAAGAAAGAAAATAAGTTGACTGTTGGTCAACCGTCTAAAGAACCGAATTTAAAGTTGAATTGATTTTTATTAAAAGGATAAACATATGCGCGATCTTAATCATTGAATTATTATGTTTATTCTTATGCTACAATGGAGTGCCACTCAGCGTCAATGCTGAGCGGATAGCGTTGTTTTCCTTTTGCTGTCCGTAGGTGATCAGACAGATGAACCTAGAGCCGATCCCAGAGGGCATTGAGGAGGAGATGTATGATGGCGTGGCTATCTCTTTAATCTGTTGTTATGCTTTATTTAATTAACTTTAATGCTTATTACGTTTTCGGGCAAGATCCCAAGTTGTTTGACTTTAAAAAGGCTTCCGCATTATTTTAAATTACTCCGATGGATTTTTATATGTATTGAAAAAACGTTTGTTTAAAATTGTTTTGAAAATGTTGTATATTCGGATACAAATCCAGTGGCACACCGGTCCGCGGTCCGCGGTCTCACGGGTTTGGGTTACGCGGGTTGGGGTGTTACAAAGCTTGTTGTCGAGCATCCTCTTGAGGCCAAACAACACACTTCCATTCCTTTTCCCCTCTCCATAAACTACTACTTTATTCCCTTTTCATCTCCTTCCTTGCTATCATGTCAAACACATCCAACAACCTTTCCAACGAAGAACTCCTAGCTTCCAATGCCGCCCTCAAAGCCCAAGTTGAGTACTAGGCAAAACAAGTTGCCGAACTCACCAAACTCAAGATGAACATGGTGAACACCCCAGAGGAAAGCGATGAAGAAGAAGAGGTTCCTCTCGAAGATAACTCTAGTAACACCGTTAGAGGAGAGAATTATGAACGAGGAGCTAATGATTTCAAGGTTGACATTGAAGGAAAGAATGATCCTGACGACTTTCTAGTGTGGCTCGAGACTGTTGAGCGCGTCTTTGACTTCAAAGATGTGCCCGAGGAGAAGAAAGTCAAAATCGTGGCACTAAATTTCTGGAAGTATGCGTCCACCTGGTGGTCTAACCTATCCACCAAAAGAAGGCGAGAGAATAAGGCTCCCGTGAAGTTGTGGCTCAAAATGAGGAGCTTCTTGAAGAAGAAGTTCTTGCCCGAACAGTATGTACGAGACAACTTTGCCCGGCTTCAACACCTAAGGCAAGGCCCTCGCTCGGTTGAAGACTATACTCGGGAGTTTGAAGAACTCTTAATGAGGTGTGACCTTCAAGAAAATGATTCACAAACATGGGTACGTTACCTATTTGGATTAAACACTCAAATAGCTAATGTAGTTGAAATGCAACCCTATGATCCTTTGAAGAACTCTCTAAACTGGCTCCCAAAGTTGAATCCCAACTTAAGAGAAACAAAACCTTGTTTGTTCGTGCCTCCCCCTTCTCCAAACCCCCTCATACTACCTCAAAAGCAACCCCAAATGCCCCTTCTCAAAACACCCCTTCAAAACCCAATTCCATCCCGTCTACTTCCTCCAACCCACTCCCCTTTAAAGCTACCCAAACCAACACACGAACTCCCAAATGCTTTCGTTGCCAAGGCATAGGTCATTTTGCCAATGAATGCCCCAACAAGAAGATAATGGCCATTGTTGAGTATGAAGAAGAGGAGATCAGCCCCTCATGGCCTGAAGAGGAGATTGAAGAAGAAGAGTGTGTAGGAGCCGATGAAGGAGAACTCTTGGTCATCCGAAGGACCTTGAGTAGCATAGCTAGTCCCGATTATCAACTACAATGGGAGAACATCTTTCATACCCGTTGCACTATCCAAAAGAAGGTGTGTACTTTGATCGTTGATAGCAGAAGTTGTACCAACGTAGCTTCCAAAACGTTGGTAGATAAGCTGAAGTTGAAGACCTCCCCACACCCAAGGCCATACACGATTCAATGGTTGAATCATGATACGGGGGTACGCGTGGATTCCCGGAGTTTGATATCATTGAGCATTGGACGAAGCTATTCCGACGAGATATGGTGTGATATCATTCCAATGGATGCCTGCCATACCCTCTTGGGACAACCTTAGATATTTAATCGGAAGGTACTCCATGATGGATATGCCAACACATATTCATTCCTCATCAACAAGAAGAAGGTTACCCTCACTTCCTTACTTCCCTCTACCCCCACGGCTTCCCCACAATCCAAAGAAGAAACCCCCGCCCTCATCTCCACTATATTGCAAGCCGAACACCATGAGTATGAACCCCTAAAAGAACTAATTCTCTTCGAGAATGAAGCACCCGAGTCCATTTACCTACCCCTCCCTCTTCACCCATTAGCCAAACCCATTGTGGAACAATTCTCCCATGTCTTCCCCGAAGATGTCCCCCACGGCCTCCCACCGAAGCGAGACATTCAACACAAGATTGATCTCATCCTGGGGGCTGCCCTACCCAACAAACCAGCTTACCGAATGAATCCCGAAGAAACTAAGGAGATCCAAAGGCAAGTTGATGAGTTATTAACCAAAGGATTTATGAGAGAAAGCTTGAGTCCATGTGCTGTCCCTGCTCTCTTAGTGCCAGAGAAGAATGGGACTTGGCGTATGTGTTGTGATAGTCGGTCTATTAACAAGATCACTATCAAGTATCGTTACCCAATTCCACGATTGGAGGACATGTTGGATGAACTACATGGTTCTAAGATCTTCTCCAAAATTGATCTTAGGAGCGGTTATCATCAAATTCGCATCTTTGAAGGAGATGAGTGGAAGACGGTGTTCAAGACGAACTTTGGGTTATACGAATGGTTGGTCATGCCGTTCGGGCTAACTAATGTCCCAAGCACGTTCATGAGACTTATGAATCAAGTCTTGAAACCCTTCATAGGTCATTTTGTCGTTTTCTACTTTGACGACATTCTAATCTATAGCAAAAGTGAGGAGGAGCATGTTGATCACCTCACATTGGTGATCAAGAGGTTAGATGAGTAGAAGTTGTATGGAAACCTTGAGAAGAGTCAATTTTTTTCTCAAGAAAAAGAGTTCTTGGGATATTTCATCTCAAGTGAAGGAATAAAAGTCGATGAGAGGAAGACCCAAGCCATTCGTGAATGGCCAATCCCCGCATCTTTGTAGCAAGTTCGAAGTTTCCATGACCTAGCCTCTTTCTACCGAAGATTTGTAAAGGATTTCAGCACCATCACGGCACCCATCACTGATTTGACTAAAAATCAGAAGTTTGAATGGAATCTTAAGGCTCAACAAGCCTTTGAGACAATTACGGAATGATTAACACATGCCCCCGTGTTAGCCCTTCATAGTTTCGAAAAGTTGTTCGAGGTTGAGTGTGATGCCTCGGGAGTTGGAATTGGGGCTTTCCTATCCCAAGAAGGACACCTAGTGTCATACTTTAGCGAAAAGCTAAATGATACGAGGAGGCGATATTTCAACTATAACAAGGAGTTTTACGCCTTGGTGCGATCACTCGAGCATTGGCGTCATTACCTTATAAGCAAGGAGTTCATCTTGCATTCCGACCATGAGGCTTTGAAATACATCCAAGGGAAACATAAACTCCGACCCCGACATGCTAAAAGGGTCGAATATATCCAAACCTTCACCTTCACCATCAAACAAAAAAACGGAACCATGAACAACGGCGCCGATGCCTTTTTCCGGAGGCATTTATTACTAACGGTACTTAGTACCAAACTTGTCGGTTTTGAGTTTTTGCAGGAGCTATACAAGGAGGATGAAGATTTCAAAGACACTTATTCTAAGTGTCTCATTCGGCCCTATGGAGACTTTCTCATCAAGGACGGATATCTCTTCCATGGAAACCAACTTTGCATTCCAAAATGTAGCGTCCGTGAGACCCTTATTGACGAAATCCATGGAGGAGGCCTAGCTGGTCATTATGGGGTCGATAAGACTCACATGATGATGAGAGAACACTACTTTTGGCCGAAGATGGAGCGAGACATAGAGCACTTTATCAAGCGTTGCAACACATGCCACCTAGCAAAGAGTCACTCGCTGCCCCAAGGAAAGCACATGCCGCTACCCGTTCCATACGCACCATGGGAAGATATTAGCTTGGATTTCATCACCGGGCTACCAAGGACACAACGAGGCAAAGATTCGATCATGGTCGTCGTGGACCGATTCTCAAAAATGGCCCATTTCGTGCCATGTGTTACCACTTATGATGCTTCACAAGTTGCAGATATCTACTTCCGAGAGATAGTCAAACTCCATGGCGTTCCTCAAAGCATGGTATCGGATAGAGATACCAAATTCCTTAGTCATTTTTGGATGACTCTATGGAGAAAGTTGGGTACTAAACTCATGTTTAGTACGTCTAGCCACCCCCAAACCGATGGACAAATCGAGGTCACCAACCGCACCCTTGGAACTCTCCTCCGAGCCCTCATAAAGAAAAATATCAAGCAGTGGGAGGAGTTACTACCACACGCTAAGTTTGCTTACAACCGAACCACGAACAAGACTACCGGACTATCCCCCTTCACCATTGTCTATGGTTCGAATCCCTTGACCCCACTAGAGCTTGATCCTATCATAACAGATACCAAATATAGTTGGGAAGCGGACGAGAGATCTAAGGCGATTCAAGACCTACACAACAAGGTCCGGGACAGAATTGAAGCTATGAACGAGAGAGTAAGTGCACGCATCAACAAAGGACGGAAGGACACTCACTTTCAACCGGGCGATCTTGTATGGATTCATCTTTGGAAAGAGCGTTTTCCGACAAAACGCAAGTCGAAGCTATTATCAAGAGCCGATGGACCTTTCGAGATATTGGAGAAGGTGAACGATAATGCTTTCAAAATCAACCTTCCAGAAGACTATGGAGTATCGGCCACATTCAACATCAAGGACATCAGCCCATACTTCGAGCCTGAACAACTTCCGAGTTTGAGGACAAACTCTTCTTAAGAAGGGGAGGATGATATACCCCTGATGACTACCAACGACTCTAAAGTCGTTAAACAAATTAATGGAATAATGGCTAAGTGTTACGACCCCTTTTGGGCCAAACTTATCAGTTATAAAACCCACAACATAGCCATAATATCCCTTAGCCCAACACCCATCTAAAACCAAGTCTCCCTCACTCTAAAACCATGTCCCAAAGTATCCAAAAGTTAACCCAAAACTACATTTGTTTTTCCTTCACCCCTGGCCGAAAACACCCAGCCCAAACCCATGCCATAACCACAATTTTTTCCCCCAACTAGGCTGAGCAAACAATCACTAAAATCCAAGTCACATTGACACACACCCACACCCTTCAACCCCTCTTTGTTCCCCCCATTTCCTGCCCATAAAATACCTCCAAAATAGCCAGCACATTTTCCCCATTAACCCATTCTCCTGCCCAAGAACACCCCACCAAAAACCAATCAAATAATGAATAATGTTCACATATTCCTTCCCAACATTAGTGGCCAAGAATCCTGTCCTACAGGCACCCACACCCCTGATTTTCTCCCCACCAAAGGGACATCCACAAGTGGCCATTATTTCATTCAATTTGTGAACAAGAGACTTGGTAGTCTCCCTTTTATCTTTCTATATAAGCTCATCCCTGAGCATTGTAAGGGCACATTGTATTCCATTTTAAATAAGAGTGATTCACTTGTGTGTTTCATTTCAAATTCCTAATCCTATATCTTAAGAGTGGTTCTCTTGAGTGTGAGTTTTAGGTTCTAGTTATTTNCCCTGATTTTCTCCCCACCAAAGGGACATCCACAAGTGGCCATTATTTCATTCAATTTGTGAACAAGAGACTTGGTAGTCTCCCTTTTATCTTTCTATATAAGCTCATCCCTGAGCATTGTAAGGGCACATTGTATTCCATTTTAAATAAGAGTGATTCACTTGTGTGTTTCATTTCAAATTCCTAATCCTATATCTTAAGAGTGGTTCTCTTGAGTGTGAGTTTTAGGTTCTAGTTATTTAAATAAGTGCGTAATATCTTATTTGAATGCTAGACTCAACCCCAAGTTAAGATAAGGGTGTGTGATATCTCTTAACACCAACTTGGTTTGTTCCCCTTCCCCAAAAAATACTTCTTTTCCTTTCCCGAGCCGCTAGATAATCGATTATCAGTATTGACAATCGAGTATCTATCTTTCATAAAATCCCCGCATCCTTCTGTAATCGATTATCATTCTACGACAATCGATTATCAGCTTCCCCAGAAAATCTGCAGCCCACAATAGTCGATTATC